GGAAGATGCGACTGAATTGATGCTTGAAGAATGCGCTTCCAGCAGCCATGACAAACAGTTGGCGGTTAAAATTGTATATACACAATCGTCAACAAGTTCCACAAGCAACAACAGCTTATCCAAGTGACTGCTGCAGAACACACGCGAGAGAGAGACGAGGCAGCGCAGATCGCGCGTCTCATAAGTGAGTGGGAATTTACCGAACGTGGCACTTATACACTGTATGCAATACCCGCAACCTCACACCAAATTTCAGGCCGTGTACATAGTCAAGCATATATACAAATCATTAAGTAAGCAGAAATCCGAAATTTACCTTAACATATTAAGTTAGAGGAAGATGCGACTGAATTGATGCTTGAAGAATGCGCTTCCAGCAGCCATGACAAACAGTTGGCGGTTAAAATTGTATATACACAATCTGATTTGACGAAAGTCACGAGACCTATTACTCTCTATCCAATCACGTTGATGGATAAAAATTAAATTAAAATAAGCATGTAACGACCACAAACGGAGGAAAATAGTGGAGTAAAAGTACCGATACATCACTTAAAATGCACTCAAGTAAAAGTAAAAGTACACAATTTTTAAACTACTCAAAAAAGTACAATTACTGATAAAAACTACTTAATTACTGTAACGTGAGTATTTGTAATTCGTTACTTCACACCCCTGCCAATGGCAGATGAGCAGCTCTGGAAACTTGCGTGGAAACAGTTATTATGCAGTTTACTGAAACCTCACCTTTAACTTCAAAGGTTTACAGAAGCCAATGAGGATTTGGAAACTAAATGCTAATGTACAAAGCTACATTATCAACAGCTGAGATTTTCCTGTGATCTTACTGTGATCGTGCAATCACTCTGCTCTGATCTGGGATCAACAAGGCTGGGAAAACACAGGGACCGCATTGATATGCAGCAGATGTCGGCTTCTCCATTATATCTGATCACAAAGAGCAATCAGGAGGGAGACTGTGGCTTGATGAGAACTCCTCTGCCAGACTCCCGGCCCAGACTCCAGCCCTCAACGCCATGACATGATTCACCTCTGCTGCCCACTGAGATTGCTTTCAGGTACTGCTATATATAGTCATATAACAGGCCAGGAATACTTTTGAAAAGAAGATGATTCTCGGTGTCACCCAGGCCAAAAAACACCACAGAAACCACTGGATATCACAAAATTCAAAATGAGTTGACATGACAGCTGGTATTATCTGTGTGTAATTCTATGTCAAAGTAATTACAGTAATTTAGTTTATTACAAGATATAATTAACTGTCACTGTAATATCTTATATAAAATATAATAAAATACATTGAAATGACTGAATACAAATAACAAACAGACCAACAAAAATATTAGCATGCTCTCTCAGCATGTATGAAGCATCATTTTATATAGCCCAGCATGCAGCGGGAGAATATCTTCACCGGTATTATTGTCTTGTCAAATCTGCGCTTCAAGGAGCTAGTGATAAAGCTATTAGTCACATAAAGACTGGGTAATACTGGGTGCAATAACTGTTTTTAGATGGATCAATAGTCGTATCTGTCTGTCGATGTCTCATACACCGACCCCCCGCCCCCCCAAAAAAAGAAGCTGCTCCTTCACAGCAAGCAGCACAACGCTAGACACTAATCAATACACCAGGTGATAACAGAATGCTTCCAAAGCCATTTAGCACAGTCTTGTCACTCTGCTGAGCGCTCAACCTGTCAAAGTATTTTGTGGTGGGGTGGTGCAAGGGAACATTTCATGCCTATCAAGGGGAACAAGCTTCTGCTTTTCAAGCCAAAGGATGGCAGTTTTAGGAGTTACTCTTTCAGCATGGCAGTCTGAAGATAATACAATTAAGCCAGTTATTAAGAGTCTGACAATTAATGCTGAGAAGTCTGATTCATTTTAGTGTACTGACTAATGATTTGTTTCAATTAATTTGATAAAAATTCATCCTGAGTCCTGAATCAATGTTTTATTATCTTTTTTTATTTTTATTTTTTTCAGTGAATTAAATATTTAAATACAGTTTTTAATCACTGTTTTCAAATAAAACTGTGCATTTAAGGAAACATGGAGTCAGAATTGACTCTATTTTCATTCTTAATAATACAGATTCCTCATGTTACTTCAACTGAAAGATTAGTTTGCATTCATAAACTTTGAAACTGTTATTGACAATTAGTACTGAAAAGTCTGATGCAGTTCAGCAAATTGGTATGTTCAGATATGAACTAGATAAAAACAAATGATTAATTTATTAATTTAATTTGTTTTTAGTGAAGTAAATATGTTGTTGAATGCTGCTTTTTGTATGACTACAGTTTTAAATATGCGATGCATTAACTCTCAAATGTTGCATTATTTTGCTTCCAATATGTCATCCTCTTCACAGTTTTGTTTTGTTTGAATCATCACAAAGAACCAGCTTAGAAAGATTTGTACGTGAGTCGCACCATTACCACTGACAATATGTCCTATTTCAAAAAAAGATTTAAGCAACCAAAGAGCATTCTGCCAATTTTTGAGCACAATAAAATAACATCCGCTCATGTGACAACAAAGAAAACCTGGGAGGACATACAATCAGAAAAGGCTTTCACACAATTCAACACCTCAGCCAGAGCGAACCTGGATAAATAAGCCTGAAGAGCTGCAGAATAATAAGTAGCAAGCACAACAGAGTACAGGTGAATCCCACGAGAGCCGCTTCTACAGAATCCACTCCTTTTAACAAACTAAAGCTATGCAAGGCAGGGTGGAAAAAAAAAATCTAATCAATGTCCTTGAAGATGTTGTCTTTTCTCCCGAGAGCCATCTTATAAGAGCGTCTCTGCGCGCATTCTATTCTATTCTAATCTTGCATTCTATTTCAATCCTACTAGCCCTGTTTTCGTAACTCTCTGCTTTTTCTCCATTTATTTATTTTTTTTGTTCCGGTTGCATCTCTCTCTTTTCACTTTCAGGCAGTGACTCATCTGTCACAAGGAGGGGTAGGGAAAGATGACGTAGGCCCAGCTGGGGCCCACCCTACGGGGGGTCTTCTCTCTCTATGCCTGCCCCTCTTTGCAATAACAACATCCATCTCCATTTTCCTGCAAGCTGACCGGTATGAGGGCACTCTCAGAGCAATTAAAATTCCCTAGGTTTTCACTCTTGCCACATGCTTAACTGTACGGCGCGAACACACCATATGCTTCAAGATGGGCAATAGTGCAATTTGCAGCCCGATGGCCGTTGAGTTCCCCATAGAACAAAAAAGAAGAACAGCTGGCTGCCTCACCATGCTTGGATAGCAGCGAGTCAACCTGTTCAATCATATGCCACTCTTGTTTACCGCACCTTATTTTATTTGGTTTGTTTGCTTTATGTGGATTAAGCCCGCATGTAAGAGCGATATGAATTTCAACCTACTGCTCAAACAAGCTCAAGGCATCGATACAAGGCTATTTTTCAAACCCCGGTGCTGAAAATACAGGAAAATTATGTCTCACAAGATACCAACTCAAAGTGAAGGAATTCATTAGTTGCTGCTGGGTTTTTATAGAGCCAAACTTGAGCCTGAAGCATAATAACAGAACTATTAGCCCGGCACAATCTATTATCTTTAATCTAAGACCACCTATTGGCTAAATCCTAAATTATGGTATTCCCTGTCCTAAAGGGCCATGCTGAGCCTTCAACTGCAGTCATTTCTCTCTACAGAATGCCGTGGGATCAAATCCCCCCGCTGGCAGCCATTCAGAGGAAGTGATGGCACTGGATAGCCTGTAAATGGCTTCAGCGTGGCTCATGTATCACGACCCGAGAGAGGTCAACTGAACTCCACTCTAAGTGTCAACCTCACAGAAGGGAAGAAGTTAACATTGCCGGTGATAAAGCTCCCGTGTCTTAACCTGCGGAGGGTTAATTCAGAACATATGGGCCCGTGCATTGTGAAGAAATGCGTATGTGTCTACATGTTCAAGACATGGAGGGTCTTCCGAGGTGTTTTATGAACATGACTCTTGAGATGCTACCCAGGGTAAAGGTGAAATAGTCATCTAACTGAAAACAGATCATATCTAGTTGGCAACCTTTTACAGGGACTAGGAACTAAGAAAATAATTATTTGGCATTAAAATAAAAGCCATAAAAAATAAAAAACATTCACACTTCCTTTCTCTGTGAAGAACTATTATATCCTAGAGAAAGATACATCTGCAGCTCACAACGGCATTAAAGAAGACGACTCAACATTTCTAGAAACAGTATTTACTGAAGAGAAAAAAGTATAGCAAAAGTTACAAAAAAGAAAGCCATTTGTTCATTGTAATTATACATCTATGCACAGAAATTATAGCCCCCCCCCCAAAAAAAAGTCTAGGCAATGATGACAAGTTTGATCATTCTTCAACCCTTATACCATACAATTGGGGCATGTTTGGGAAAACACCTACAATGACTAAAGCAAGAGGTGCATTATTCCCCTCAAAAGTATTGTTCTGATTCTGAAATGTCAACATTTCAAAGCATTGGATATAACTGGGAAATATAATTATAAAATTGACCCATGTTGTTCTACTTCGTTCAATCACACAGATCTTCGGAACAGTTTTAACTCTAGAATTCCTTCTCCTCTCAAAGGAAAGCCAATATCAACTTACTTCAGCAACCTGAACACGGCAAATCGCTGAGGTCAGAATTTCCCTCCATTCAAGCTACAAAAAAGTGATCTTTAAACATGCCAACAAGAAGAGTTCATTGCAGAGTAGGTAGGTTCACAGGAAAGCCTGACGTTCATTAGCTGATTATTAATGAAGCACTCCATTATGTCAACCCCTCGTTCTGCCAGGTTTCAATGCAAAACAGACCTAGCCAGGGGAAAGTCAACAGAGCCAAGCCTATCTGCAAACTGTTCCTGTCCAACTACCGCTGCATCCAAACGAGAGCAAATGTTTACAACATCTGCAGGAAGCCTGCCCTTTGACTAAGACGAAAAACGGTCACACTCACCTCTTCAGATTGTGGCAGTGTCAGCTTAGGAATTTTGCCCTTGGTCCCAGCCGTGCTGCTTTTGGTATCCAGCAGACCTCCGAATGGCACACTGTTGTACCCTTCCACCAGCTCCACAGGGGGTTTGAGCTCTGGGGAATCATTTGGGACCTGGTCTTGGCCGTCCATGGGCCTGACGTAGGCAGTGGGTTTCTGCTGCACAGCGCTGCTGGGCTTGCAGTGGAGGCCTTGGGGGAAAGTTGGCGTCAAGAGGCCACTAGGGAGCAGGGACGTAGAGGCCACTGGCGAGTTCGAGCCATGGGAGCACAAGTCCTGCTCGGTAGGAGACTTTCCAAGGCCAAGCTCAGCTGTCGCTGCTCCTTTGCCAGACTGGGCCTGCTTCCTGTTGGAGTGTGACGAAGTTGTAGGTCCGCTAGGATTGGGACTCGAGTCCTCTTGGTCCTGATCATGTCTACTAGAGGTCTGCTCATGACTGGAGTGCTTCCCCCGGCTGACCGCTTGAGCGGTCTGGGCGCCACTTGAACCGTGACCCCCTCGGGACCAGTCTGAAGAGCGAGACTTTTTGCATTGATGTCCATGTACAACGCTAGAGCCCGGCATGGTGTTGGCAAGGGGTGGGGGCATGGAGGTGCTGTGACTTCCAGGTTGGGAGGGAGCAGTTCGGCTCCGTTGAGCCTCAGGGAAAAAGCCTGGCTGGTCGGTTTTCTCCACTGGAGTCTGGGGAACAGAGTTCTTAGGGATGCCCACAAGGTGACTCTGGTTGGAATGGCTAGTCAGGAGCTCCTTCATTTCATCATAATTTCCAAGAGTGTTTTGGACCCGGTTGGCCAGGGCATCTCCTTTGTTAGTCTGAAAAAAAAAAAAAAAAAAACCTCTTTATAATAATAAAAAAAATGCAGCCATTTTCCTAACAAAAGTATTTTACTTTACTTTTACTTTGAACAGTTTGCCGCAAAATTTACATTCAAAAAGCTGGTTTATACGATTTGAGCACTATATTTAGTTTTTAATTAATAGTTTTGTGTGAGAAACAGACAAAACTTAAAGACATTTACTAATAATATTCGGCAACACTTTAGTTTAGGGACAAATTCTTACTATTAACTAGTTGCTTAATAGCATGCATATTACTAGCATACTGGCTGTTTATTAGTATGACCATATTTTTATATCCCTTAATCCTACCCCATACCTAAACTTAACAACTACCTTACTAACTATTAATAAGCAGCAAATATATTTAAAAATAAGTACTTTTATCTAATTTCAAGAGTATATTTTACTGGAAAGCAAGACAAACATGATTATGAAAACAATTGTTTGCGGTAACACTTTATTTTAGGGACTAATTCTCACTATTAGCTAGTTGTTTATTAGCATTCATATTACTAGCATATTGTCTGTTTATTAGTACTTATTAAACACATGTTAATGCCTTATTCTGCATTACCATATTTTAGTTCCCTTAATTCTACCTGGTCCATTTGAGAGGTAGGTGGCGGTAATGCACTTATAAGTCTGCGATCCGCCTTAAAGCAAGAAGAAGAAGAAGAAGACGCGTCACACGACGACCTCAGGACGCGCTAAGGACAGTTCAGACATTGCAGTGCATCAGAGGTAAAAAAACTATATAAATACTGTTCAGTTTCTTGCACAGACCGATCGTTTCGTGTCTTTACACATCAATGTACCGTCACGTGCCGCAGGGATTAATTTGGTTTTGTTTGTGTATGTTTTTTTGACTCTCAAAGCCGTGATTCCCATTCAC